CTATTGGGGAGCTTTAAAGATGATAAGGATACTGATGCGAGAGAGGAGGATCGAAGCTGTCCTGTTGAAGAAGATATGAAGAATGAACAAGGTACAGTGGTGGAGATGGATTTAGGGAAGATGACATTAGGAGAATGGTTCGGGTTTCTGGAGGTTCATTGGCCAAAACAGATAAATCAGGAGACAGAAAGTATGATTGAGCCTATGCCAAGTAAAACTCAGAGAGTTTGCGAGTATATCGCAGAACAGAGAGAAGTTCAGGCTAAAGCATGAGTGTATTACACTATGACCTAAAACATTTGTGTGTTGAATTGACAAAATGTGCAGCTGATATGGTATACACCTGTTTTTACTATAGCTTCCCTTAATGAAGTAAGAGACACATAACCCCAGGTACAAATTTTCTTATCATGTGGACCTTAATGGTGTGCTGCTTAGAGTTTTGACTGCAATGATTTACTTGCATTTGCTTTGTCTGCGACACAAACTATGCAGTGAATTTATCATATGTTTGATTTTATCACAAGTTTCAGACTTTTGCCCATTTTATAGTAGAGCATCATCAAAGACTCATCTATCAAGTTTTTTATGTATAATACCGCTGGTGATTTTATATCGTGCAATACTGATGATTGGATGATCGACCATTCATGTAACCAAATGGCTTGAAGACGGATGTCCTTACTCTAGTCTCTGTTTGTTTCTCGGGTTGTCATAGACAAATGCAAGTTCCTCAGAAGCATGGCTTCTATTGTATTATTTAAGTCTATGAAAAAAAAAGAATCGAAAAGCGTTCTAGACATCTGATATATTTCACTATAGCTTTAACTTTTTCTGTAAAATGAGGAAAGGTCTGTTGATAGCTCCATCATTGTTTTTGGTCTCTAACCGGGACCTGTGCTGTTTTTGTTGTCACAGGAAAGCTCAAATCATTTGTTACACCAAGAAACCAAGCCAGAATTGAAGATTTAAGTTGTAACATTGATGACACTTCAACCAGGAATCACACGCTCTTCTCCTTACATAACATAACTATTGTAACCATGGAGTCACTTATATCACTGATGCTAAGGTTAATTTCGCTTTAAAAATTAAAGCAATTCGCCTTCTTGTCATAGTCCTTGACTACTATTTGACCATCTCTCCATGTTTATGTAAACTCTCATCAATTGGTGAAAACATGAAACAGGGTATGATATATGATATGTAAACTACTCAAGACGCCTTTACCGTTTGAAGTTGGCAGGATTTTGTTTGCCCTTTCGGTCCGGGAAAAGACCAAAGGTAAGAAAACTCATTAATTCAGGTTAGTTAGTTAGCAATTTCACATGCTTCATCTTATTATCTCATCAACATATTCATCGTCTTTAAGAAAGAGATAAGGTTTCTGCCTTTTACAATTTAATGCTTCTCTCTTTTCTCAAGTTCACATGTTAAGTCTCCTAAACACATTTCCTTTTTCACTCCCTATATGAATAGCCTCATGTTACTATTAGCCTCCAAAATACCACAATTTCCACCAAAAATCAAGGATTCAAATAAGCAATGGCTCGTAACAAGCTCGAGTTTCCTCTTGATTCTGAGGCCTATGAGATCATATGCAAGATAGGCGTTGGTGTCAGTGCTTCGGTCTACAAGGCCATATGCATTCCGATGAACTCAACGGTAGTTGCCATCAAAGCCATCGATCTTGATCGGTCTCGGTCTGATTTTGATAGTCTTCGTCGCGAAACCAAGACGATGTCTCTGCTTTCTCACCCGAATATCCTCAATGCTTATTGCTCATTCACCGTTGATCGGTGTCTTTGGGTGGTTATGCCTTTCATGTCTTGTGGATCTCTTCATTCCATCGTCTCTTCCTCTTTCCCCAACGGGTTACCGGAAAATTGCATTTCCGTTTTCCTCAAGGAAACTCTGAATGCAATCTCGTATCTTCACGATCAGGGTCATTTGCACCGTGACATCAAGGCCGGTAACATTCTGGTAGATTCCGATGGATCAGTTAAGCTCGCTGATTTCGGAGTATCCGCATCGATATATGAACCCGTAACATCGTCATCTGGAACCACATCGTCTTCTTTAAGGTTGACTGATATAGCTGGAACACCGTATTGGATGGCTCCAGAAGTGGTTCACTCTCACACAGGATACGGTTTCAAGGCAGACATTTGGTCGTTCGGGATAACGGCGTTGGAGTTAGCTCATGGTAGACCTCCGTTATCTCACTTACCGCCGTTGAAGAGTTTGCTAATGAAGATCACAAAAAGGTTTCATTTTTCCGATTACGAGATCAATACAAGCAGCTGCGGTAAAAAGGGTAACAAGAAGTTCTCGAAAGCATTTAGAGAAATGGTTGGTTTGTGTTTAGAGCAAGATCCAGCTAAAAGACCATCTGCAGAGAAGTTACTGAAGCATCCGTTCTTCAAGAACTGTAAAGGAGTCGACTTTGTGGTCAAGAACGTGTTGCAAGGCTTGTCAAACGCGCAACAAATGTTTATAGAGAGCCAGATTTTGATCAATAGTGTTGACGAAGAAGATGATGAAAAGATAGTGAAGAACAGGAGAATCAGTGGTTGGAATTTCCACGAAGACGATTTACAACTTAGTCCAGTGTTCCCAACTGAATCAGACACTTCTGGTTCCAGTCCACGTGAAGAAGCTTCTCACGAAGACAAACCGGAAGGCGATAACATTGCTTTAACCGGCTCTGAAGTAGGGTTAGACGAGGAAGGTAAGAACCAAGAAGGTGAAGTTGTCGGGTTTGATAGAGATCTGATGTTAGAGAAACTGAAACTTTTAAAGAAAAGTTTAGAGCATCAAAGAGCGAGAGTGTCGGTAATAATCGAAGCATTGAGTGGG